TGAGGAACAAGCCAGTGAATTTATGGAACAAACAGAAGAACAAACAGAACACATAACATATCAGGGACAGGTAACCACACAAATGACTGCGTACATTGACCAGGATAAGGAAATTTCAGCAGAAACAAAAAGTACAGAAGATGGAGAGATCGAAGAAGGATACGAATTCTTGGAAGATTTATGACAAAATTATAAATGTTAAAAGTTTTGAATATTGAATAATAAATACTAATAAATACGAATTAATATTAATATTCTGTTTATATAATATATTGATATTATTGTATCATTGGTTATCACATGACATACATTCTAATTTAATCATGTTTTTGGTTTTTTTTTTTTTTTTTACTCATTGTAATTTTTATTTAAAATATTTCGAACATTGAGAATTATTTGTATTTCTAACGTCTACTTTATCATAGAACATGAGTTTACACAAGCGAAAAAAGACGTTTAATAATTATTTGATAAATAATAAAGGTTTCGTACGGAAGACAATTATAAATGTGAAACAGTCTTTACAGATATGCAATAAATATGCAAAATTTTAATTATTCACTACGAAATAGCCCAGAAAATAAAAAAGAAATTTGTTCATAAAGTAAAAACAAAGAAAGATTTTTACAAAACTTTATCGAAAGAACAACATGAATTGGAAACAACTTCCCTTTACCAGCAGGTATTTAACTTTATATAAACGGTTTATGTCATTAACTTAATTAAAAACAATTAATTACACAAAAGAAATTAAATGTTGGGATAGATATTTAGCGAGAAGTCAGCAGATATCAGTAAGGATGATATAAATCAGGAGAAACATGTGTCGGATAACAAAGATAATATAAATAAAGATGATATTGATCACCATGAAGAATCAATTAAATGTGATAAGGATCTTTACGAAGAAACTAAAAAGAATGGAAAGGTGAATTAATACCATTTTTTAATCGTATTTTTGCATTTATTGTTGACTAGAGACGAGTTAATTAGTATTTATTTATTATTATAAAAGAACAAGTCGAATCACAGGTAACATATCATAGGACGATTTTCATATGATTGGCTGTTTAAGTCTACT